CCTGTATAATTATGGACATCTTGGTCGCCCCTGGGGAAGCGCTTAAAAACCGTTCAGCTGTAGCACTCTTTCGGTGCCTAGCTGCCATGCCACCAGAAGGGAGCACGGCAACTGGGGTACTGCCAAATTGCCCAAGCCTAGACAGGGGAAGTCGAAAGGCAGGGGTCAGGTTCAAACCACGGACCTTCCGGTCAGCAAGTTCGCGCTCTAACCACAGCCATCTCGCTACAGGGAACAATCGCACCCTACTACAGCTGATTCGATCAGCTGACACAACGAAGGTAGCCTTCAGCGAAGCAATTTGAAAAAAGATAGGGCGGCGATTTATTATCAAAGTCTCCCTGTTGAGTAATGGTCTAAACACGGTAATGCTCAGTTGAGCTGGCCAACCTCTGGAAGATTCCAACGAGCCTGAACGTCGACACCAGCCCCAATGTCGGCAACAGAAGTCGTGTGAAGTACCACTCCAAATGCCCGGATGGTCTTAATCGTTTAATTTTTTCCAAGAGCGTGGTAAGCAGCCAGACGGCCATACTACGGAAGATTTGAAAAGAACTAAAGGATCCAGGCGAAATGAAGCACTACGGTGATGCTGGTCTCCAAAAAGGGTACAAGAACGTCATGTGAAAACCGCCGTCATATAAGCCTGTTAGCCATGGAATCTAAGGTGTTTTTTGGAAATATTTTGTGCAGGTTGATGGATTATCAGGTAAGGAACCAATGATACACCGACCATTTGTTTACTTTGAGACCGATTCTCGAGTAGCACTACTGTTTCGAACATCCAACGATGGTAGATTTTGGACTGAAGGCTCATGACTCCAACGGCCTTGGTGGTGCTAGACAATCAAGTGCTTGTCTATTATATTCTTACGTCTCAAACAGTCGCCACTGTTTGGTCACCCTTTGCCATCATCCGACTATGACCACGGTTCTAGTACGTACGTTGGTTGGAGGGTTGCTGCATACTGGGTTGTTCGGGTAGATGCTGAGGCAATGGCCACTCTGCCGCCACATGGAGATTAACCGAAACTCAGGTGTAACCCTCATTTGAAAGTCATTTCCACTACTTAGTGGGCACACACCACTGTTCTTGCGCTCGAGAAAGGGGGTGGTGCTAATAAAAGACAATGATAGCGTTTGATACTGCCTTCTGTGGGTGGTTGAACGTAACCGAAGCCGATCTAACCAAATACAGTCGGAAATACTAGTCCTGGTTATATGCGTTTATTCTAAAACAGCCCCTTGAAGCCATGCGTTCTCTCCTCTAGACTGAGCGTACTAATTCCTATATCCTGCAGGTAAATCGGAAGTGGTCTCCCTGGAGACCACTAACCCTGGGCTTATGGACTGTCAGAACACCACTGGACTAAGCTAATGACTTCTGTATGAAGCGCACTACCTTGATTTCAATGGAACTGAAAAGGTACGGAATCGATGTCGCGCCCTCAAAGTAACGCATTCGGTTCACCAAGCAGGTCTTTGACGTTTTGATTCCGGGCACACGTCCCACTAAATTGGGCTACCTGTCGGAAGAAAAATGGGATCGATGTGTCGGTTTTTCTCCGTTCGACCAAGAGAATGCTGGATTGATAAACCTGTGGAGTTGACCCACGCCTTGTTCCAATGCGTCTGAGATTGACAGGCCAAACTTACGTGACTGGTCATTGCGTGCGCCCCAATTCTTTGCTTAACAAAAGATTGCAAAGAAAAATTCCTCGTGAAGTTTGATGATCTACTTCTGTCAGTTTCGAAATCCGACAAGATCCTCTGCCCGGGAGACTCCGGTCGATGTTATTCTCTGTGGCCATGAACGCCATAGTGTCGAGAGTGTAAACACCAATGTCGCCGTGCTTGTTGTCGTCAACACAGGATTTTGCCGAATGCAGTTAGGGGCACAGGTGCCTTAGGGCAAACCGTATGTGGCATCACCCATTGTGGGCTGAGTTTGATGTGGCAGGCCAATCCAGAAACGGGTGCCAACTCACCATGATTATCGCATGTCAATCGTTTTTGATCTTGCACTTGAGTTCGTACGTGTTAATTGCTAAGGCACGTTCCAGTTACTGTCCTCTTTTTAATCTTTTTTTTTGCGGCTGACTGGGGCCGTGTGCTCGACTAATAGTATCACGGGTCGTAACCTCGTTGGACCCAGGTTTTTCGACGCCCTCGAACGATGGGACAGCTGGTTAAGCACATTCAGCATCTACCCTAAAGGTATCGAATTAGCGAACCTGCACAGCCTCAGCACACCTATTCACTTCAGTGATTCTTTCGTCTATGATTAAATCGTTGATTGTACCGAAGATGCCTCTGCTATCACGTTGCTCGAGGTCTAGTTCTGATCAGGAAGCGTGTCACATGCGCGATCTCTCGCTTCTGGCAAAAAACGTAGACCCGCTTGCACAAGAAACTGTGGCTAATGAGTGGCTTCCAAGAAGTTACTGTACTTCAACACAACGTGGAATCTGTGCGATATATCTTATCCAGTGGACTCCAATGAAAGGAGGCTTCGCAACACGAGCTAAGTTATGACGTAGCACACGAATTCGCTCGCTTTCCGGAGCTGTCTCACAGACCATCACAGTTCTATGCGACTAGTCAAACTGCTTCTTGTTCGGCGACCCCCCTGAATAGAAACCTCTCCCTCTCACCATCAACGCTATCACTCACAGACTTTCTTTCAGTAATTACAAAAAACCCCGTTCTCAGTAATCTGCCCGAGAATCTGTTTGCAATTCATATGGAAGAGTTGTTTCCAACTTGCGTTAAATTCAAATTCAGCAACCACCTGTTAGTTTCTAGTGTTTGTCAGTGCAGCCTTTCACTCTTCAAACGTGCCGTTACTAGCATTTTTGTTGACCGGACCCATGTCCGAGTGTTGGTCGATACCCGCAGTTCTGTTAGCTACATTTTTTAGAACTCTTGACAAGCAACGACTTCATACAAGCAATCCTATCCGTACGAAAGTGTTGTCTGATTCTGTTTCTGACCATCTGATAAGCGCCAATATCTTAATGTCGCTATCCGCGAAAAACTCAAAACACCTCTTGTAGCTTACGTGTCACTGCACAGTAAGCGCATATGGTTGGTGCCATTCATTATGCCACCCAAAACCACCCAGGAAATATGCCAACTCGACAGAAGAGCTGGATCTCAGCGGAACATGCGGTTGTCAGGCCAGGCTAGCCAGGAGGGGTTGTATAAAGTGCCAAACTACAGCACAGTCCGACGCCAAGCAACGCATTCCGCCAGAAACGGCCGGAACTGCTACCGGACCAACATAGTGACCAGTATGGAAGCTGCATCTTATTTTGGTGACTGTGCTACGCTGTTCCGCATTCCGTTACAAGCTTCCACATGACGATTGCGCGCGGAAAATCGTTCCCGACAACGAAGTGTTTCCATCTGATTGGATTATATCTATTCTTTCGTTGTTTTTCACGAAGGATTTGACACATCTGCCTGTGACAACTATATTGGTATAAACTCACTAGATGTAACTTTCGAGTCGGTTTGCCAACAAGACGCGTATCAGACTGAGCCACTTAAATCTTCCCTCGAGCAAGGTTGTATCCACCAAATCTTCACTCTATGTCGTGTTGTTGGACAACAATACAATATCAACAGCCATCGACCTCCACGTAACCAAGAAGTAGTGGAGCATATTGGAGTCAAATGGTATCCATACGAAGTCAATCATTCAAAGTTGTACCACGCGGCCACAAGAGCATGTCTGTATGTCTGGCGGAAGATCGTCAAAGTTAAACTTGTCTTCTGGGGCCCGGTAGACCTACCCGCTATACTGTTCAACTTCGCAGTGGACTGGATAGTACATGACCTCAATCGCGCGAAGCTCTCAACCTTCCGGGGAGATCACTTGCTGTGTAGACTGTTGGATTATTCCCGATCTACCCTGTTAGAACAGCTTTGCACTTTGTGGTGAGAGGTGCTTTCCGTTAGGGCCCGCCCATCCTTAAGACTCAACACTGCTTGTATATGGGTTAATATCTCGGAACGGCATACTGATTGTTGGTTAGCATGCCACCTGAGAGACGCTCTGCTTCATGGATTTGTGCCTGGAGCTGTCCCCTCCATTATATCGTCAGCCAAGAAGCTGGGAAGGACAGGGAAGATCGACTATTCTTAACGGACCCCGTTCGGTGTGGAAAACGATAAAAATGTCTGAGCCATACGGTAGTTTTGGGTCTCGAGATAGCCTGATGGTCAAGGCGCAGACTTGCTTACCAGAAAGTTTGTAGTTCGAAACCAACCTTTGAATCTCAACTGCCTCTGTCAAGGCTTGGTAATTTCATCCCTCATGCTTCCTTCTGGTGGCATGGTAGCTATGCGCCGATAGGGTGTTACAGCTGAACCATTATTATTTATTTTATTATATTTGAGTTATAGATGTGGTGCATCCCAGAAAGCTGCAGTGAAGACAGCATTTCTTGCTCTTGTGAAATATCCAGTTGGATCTCATCTCTTGATCGCATCTTTCGACTATGCAACCCGTAAACAACTACGTCTCAAGGTTACGTTATCTTTGACCAGCCATAATTCGCGGTCTGGTAATTCAATTATTTCTTCATTCATGTTTAGACTCACACTTTTATGTCACCTCAACCCAATTCCGGTATTGCTGAGCAACTGATAGAATGCTCTTTGTCATGCACTGTTACACTATAAATACTGCACTATTTACCGACTAAGTAGCTGTTGCTCCTGTCTACTAACTACTCTGCATATATGGGTGTCTATAGTAGAGCCCAATCTACTGCAGTGGTTGTATTCACAGCCTCACCGGAGGTGTCATTTGGTCACGAACGTTGAGTAGTCAAGCGTCTTTACTAAAAGAGGTTTCTCAGCCAACCGTATTACATGTTTGGGCCATTGTTGTCACCAGACACGTCATACCTCTTAGTTAGTGATAAACCGTTTGAAATGAATATGCTGACAGTACTTCCTTTCTTTTCTTACAGCTAAGCTAGGGAAATAGGATGAGCGCGGATCCGGAGGTCAAGCGGGTTAGAAATTTTTCAAGCTGTTTTCATATAATCAGGCTATTGAAGCACATAGACAGCAAACTATCGTGGCTAATCAACAGATCAACATCCTCAATGCCCAGCTGGAGGCTCTCACAATGAAACACAGAAGATCAGAACTGGTCGAGCAGGAGCTTAAGGCGCTTCCTACCGAGACGGTAGTCTACAAGGCGTTAGGCAGAATGTGAATTGCTTATTGGTTGCTCATCATATCTTTCAGGTTCCTTAGGAAAAGTGTGAACACTATCACGGAGGATATATTGAAGGAGCGCTTGATCATTGATAACAATATGGAAACCTTAAAGGTATGTTTATTTCGAAGGTAAAGATTTGCAGTTTGCAGAAAAACAAGGAAGCCGTTTCGAGCAACCTATCGGAATCCAAGGAAGCCTTGCGAGAACTGCTGAGCTCCAAGCAGCAAGCATAGTCTCAAAGTCATTGTGAGACACGTTCAGTTGGGACTGCTCTGTTCGAAGCTGTTCAATCCTGTTGCTTGATGAGCCATCAGGATTTGTTGATTTTGATGCTTCTCTGTGGTTTCCGAGAAATACAGTATTAATTTTGTCAGTATCTGAATGACCAATACCTTACTAAAACAGACTATGCGGACTCTTCGCAAAGGACCTCATTTTAGATCCACGATGAATGTTGTGGTGAAAGCTTTAGGAGAAACGGTCTGCCTTTAATGGCCTAAGTGAGAGCTAATCACACTGTTGATCATCCGGAAGGTCGCGCGTTCGGGACTTCGTGAGTTTCGTAAGATACGTGCTGCTATGATTCCTAACAAGAGTGAAACAGCTATACGGTGTCTCTCGGCTTTCGAAAATTACCAAATCTCACGGCGCCATGAAATACAATTACGTTAGCGGTCACGGGGACTAGATTCCTCTTGGCGACAATTCTCAGCACGGATACTCTTTCTAAAGGTTGATCACTGTGTAGGCACTAGGTCCCAAAACCCTATGAATGAAAAAAATGTTTTACGTACGTCGTAGCGAGAGCAAATTAGGTGACGTACAGTCCGACCTAGAAGCAGCCAATTCAATACTGCTCTGGTAGAGTTGAACCTCAGTAGTGATAAACAACACCCGTAGAATCCAAATTGAACGATCAGAATGGTGTTTACAGTGACTTTAGTCAACATCCTGGTTGAATCCATTTGCTGAACGCAGGAAATGGTTGTGCTGAGGAAAACAACGTACCAGTATGATAAATGGCTTAACTACAGCAAATGTCATTCAAGCAAACCCGTTGGGGGAATGGTGGTGAAAGTAGGGAATAGATTGACTTGGATTTAAGTCGTGGCACTGCGTTATGTGAGCGCATAACGCTGTAGCAGCATATGTGCGCCTTGGTGTTGGGATTGAGCGTTTAGTTGTTATATTTTACCGTTGGGACAATACGAAACATTTTCGCCCATTAGATTTTATCGAAACTTGTGAAAGGGCTGTTTTGTCTATGGGCTAGCTGAGTGGTTTAGAAGATAGATGGAAACTATTCTATCGCGATTTAAATGAGAAAGTTTCAAGGAAGAAGACAAAGGAAACCGGATATATTGCAGGCGAACCATTGGAAGAAACAGGGTTTCGGCTCAGTTGGTCACAGTAGGGAGAAAATGAAATCTCAGTGAATTATTACGAGAGGTAGAATTCTTCGTTAGAATCTGATAATCCTAACAGGGGCTTAGCTGCCCCTCGAGGTCGATAGTATGTCTTGCGTCAGCTAATATATGTGAACAATAAGGGGCAAAACAAAGCAAATCTGCGTAAATCGTGATCTAACGTGTCATACTCCAACAGTTGCCTCCAAGGGACAGCGTTTCTGTCAAGCAAGATTTAGTGTGTTATTCTTCCGACAAGGGACTGTTGAGTATCGGGCTGACTGTTGCCCGGAAGAAGTCTGAGGTCTTCGTATCTGTATATATGGAACACTGCGAACCTTAGAATGAGTCATGGTGATCATCGATTGTTGCGCAGGTGGCCGCTGATTTGTTTTCCGAGGTTGGTCATTGGCGCGTAAGCGTTTCGTCACCAACGGAGGAGACATTATTGGTGTGTGAACTGGGTTCGGGGTTGATGGCGGTCCTTTGCCTCTTCCAGGATTGAGAATACATCAAAATCAGCTGATTTGCTGCACCACGACAAAACTAAGTTGTACCATGGTGAAAAACACAGGACTGGTGGTAAATTATACCAGGCCCTCAATGTTATAATCAGCGCTCTTGATGCATACATACCAGAGATCTGGTGTCTAGAGAAACTGTGGTTCCTTTTCATTTATGATTGCTCACGTGTCGAACTGTCATTAAACTGATCAGAACTCCTTTTGACACAGACAGTTCGATAAAATCTCGTATAACTGTCTCGCTGGCGTGCCCCTGCTGACTACCGCCAAAACTGACTTTGAACATAGAAAAAATTTAAGGGTAATATGTAGTGTGCCGGAAGTGACGGCCTCATACTAGTTTTAATTCAAAACTGTTCTGCCCAAAAATGGGACATCTCGATCATCAGTGTATTGACCTGTTAAATATTCCCATGTTCTCGCATAGAACTTGATACTTCCAAAATTTGCTCCTGATAGTCAACTAGCAACTGCAATTATGAGTGGAATACGTTCAGTTGTTCTGCTGTAGCACCCTTCCGGTGTACAGCTGCCATGTCACTAGAAGGAAGCACGAGGGCTGGGATACTGCCAAGTCGCCCAAGCATAGACAGGGGAAGTCGAGAGGAAGAGGTCGAGTTCGAACTAAGGACCTTCCGGTCAGTAAATTCGCGCTCTAACCGCTTGGGCCATCTCGCCATTGAGTGAAATACATGGTTCTGTACTTGCATAAAACCACATTGGGTGGTTAGACCGATAGAGGTATTGAAAAAACACGATACGTCACCCAAAACGACTCATTTTTCTGGTAGCCTCAGCATGTTTCATTGAAAGTGCCCATGCGATGCGTAAGCATTTTTTCAGGTGAGATAAAGATTTCATGCATGCTGTTTCATCGCGATTCGTAAGCAATATGCCCATTTGTAAAAGGAGTTTAAGTGTGCGGACCAAACGGTTCGAAATTGGGGTAACCTAGTTTAGTAGTGCTCATAACTCCGAAGCTAAGAGACCACTGCCGATAGATGCTAAGCTTACTCTCATATCGCAACAGATGGTTTCAAGCTATGGTTCCCCAATTCCCGATGCTAGTCCTTATACCCTTCAATGTGGCCGTTATTCGTTTTTGATATCTACGTAGCGCGGAGTACTCATGCATCCCTTACTGATTTCGACGAACAGTATCCAGATTGTTAGCGGAGCCAGAATGCGCATGAGTAACGAAGTTTCCAAGTGCAATCGGACGGTGCACCTCTGGTTTGTCGGCATGAAGCTGCAGCTGTTGATCTGAGCCACGAGGGTTATGTGGCAGCGTCAGACAGAATTCGACAACATAGTTCGCCCCATAAGCGTTACCAATACAACTGTAGTCACTAAAAGTGCACAAAATTAGGTCCCGTGTGTGTCTGCGGATGACGAGTGTCGAGTAGCTGGCCGGTATTACGAATTATAAAATGGAGAAACCGTTTGCTCATACTTACTGGCAAGTAAATGCGAGGTAGTCGTCATAACGGTGACGGTTTAACGGAACCATACTGCAGTATTACCGAGCCTTAAATAAATTTCCCAACAGTCACACACAAGCGGCCTTCGCGGTGAACTTACTGCAGCAATGCACAACTCTAATAGGTCAAAAATTGCAACATTGATCCACTCAACCAGCTTAACTGATTTCGGAATGGAGGGGGTAAGACAAAGTAGGTGACTTCAGGCTGCAGGATAGCGCTCTATGGAGTTGTTTCACAGTTGAGACGTGTTTTAGCACAAACATTAGACCAGTCGCGTTCATTTATACGTCTGACAGATAATTTCACCAAGGGATAAAAAATCAAGCAAAGAGAAAAGCAGCGTTTGGTCTTTAATACCTTCGGGTGTGAGTGCTTTCCACTTTCGTTCATGCAAATAATTGTGACAGGAACAGACGGAAATTTAAGGTAAAAATTCCCAACTTTCTTCAGTTTAGCCAGTTTTCCGAAGGGCACTTCGAAGCCACGTGTTCATAGTTAATCTAGAAGACTAGCTGAGGATAAGGTGTGCCTGAAGCTCGTCAGCATCCGCTTTCTATAATAGAGCTCAAGTATCGGCCCTCGGTTCGTGAAACAAGACGGACCGTACAACCTTGCAGGATTTCAAAAGTTCAGGTTTATTCATTGGAAGATTCAGTTTGACAATATTCAATTTGAGCATATATTGATTGTCAAACTTCTACAGGCAATTTTGGCGAATAAAATAGACTACTGTTATCTCCACGCCAAATTTCCACGCACTGCGACCAGCTACCAAAGGAAGCTCAGGAAGAATAATTTGAAAAAGATAAGTGGAACTGTCATCTGAGAAATCATTCGAAGAGCCCTTCAGTACATGTTCACTTGGTGTGTACTCCGTGAGTGAAGCGTGAATGGCACTATATCTTGTCTAAGTACGAGTTAATCACTGCTGACTAGCCGCCCATGGTGAACGCTCAACTGTTTCAGAGTACTGTCCTGAAGGTTGCGGGTTCCAAAGACTCGCTTGTTTCATGAGATGTGCACTGCTGATGATTCCAAATGAGAATCAAACAACCGAACAGTTCTCTTCGACTTTTCAACTTCAATTACAGAACGAAATCCCAGAAGATTCCGAACCTGTCTCACTGATGTAGTTCCTAGCTTCTGAGCTAAGAGTGGACCCTCATAAATAACCGCCTTCGCGCTATTTCTTTAACAACTTGGATGAGAAAGCGCACTGGCTGAAATGATATCTGGTTTCTATTTGTGGTTTCCGAGAATGCGCCAAACACATGGAGTTCTGATTCGGTGAAAAATACCTTTTATCGAGAACTAACCACTCTTCTACCCAGCACGAAGTCTCCGACAAGTGTAGATCATCAGAGGCGCGACTTGGCAGCGTGTTCAGCTTGAACTCGGGACGTAGTGACAATGATGATAGTCATTTTCAGCTGTTTAGTGATCAGTAGTTGTTCCACAGTAGTGCTGGATTAGAGACAGTAGACATCTGTGCATTATTCGGCGTTTGACCCGATGGCAGATCAACCAAATCTCAATTGGCACCGGGGTTGCATTCTTGACTGGACCAAGCGGGCCGATTCAGTATAAGTTTTCGACAAGTTCCCCGGGGAGACTTAAGCAACAACCTTCCGTCTAACCAATAGAAAACCTTCGGAGCCACAAAGTAAACGACCTTATCAAACAGGCTTGTTCGGAAAAAAAATAAAAGCCGTATCCTCAGGTTATATTAACCGTAACAGGGACGAAATAAGTGCCACCAGTCACAGGCAGGGAACTCAACATGAGGCGTCTGAGAACTCACCGAATAGGCATTGAATTTTACAGCATTGACTGTTGTTCATCGACGCGAGACATCAAACCCTTCGGAACACAGGACGATTCAGCCAGCAGGGCTGTCACATATTAGCTCAAGCAGTCTGTGTGAGGATAGAGACCTCGTAGACTCAATTAGGTTATGGAAGTGAAGGAAGCAGAAAATGTTCAGAAACTTTTCCCACATGATATGCAAAGCGGGACCGAAGAGAAGCCGGCTTTTAATGGGTCATCAAGATAATACTAGAAATTTAATCCACACAAAAGAACCAGAGTCTTGATCGCCGAGCCGAATATTTAGCCGTCTGCCCATGTGCCCACGTCTTTCATTCTACCCGTGGTCTGAGTTTAGACCCACCCTCAGTTTCGGAAGTACTAACATGCCTTACTGTGTTGAAGCACCTTTGGGACACGACGTTTCCGAAGACTGGTGAGTCTGTGTTCTGCCTTGGGAACAATAATCTGTTCCAACAATCTGAGGCTAATTATTCACTGTGCGAAGCGATTGCTCTGAGTGTCACGCCAGTTGTAATATGGCTTCTAGTTTCAATACTACACAACGTTTGACCTAAGTACGTGAGACGCAAGTCCAAGACCACAAGGGACGGAACGGGTGCAGTGACTACATATTCATGTTGCGTCAAGTGCTTGGGCAGCGCACGTATATCATCAACCAACTGTAATGGTGTTTCTTGACTTCAAAAGCGGCCTCAACTCCGTGGATAGTTAGGTTCTTTCATGTATAATGGAGATTGCTAGTCGGCCACGAGCGACTAATCAGCAGTATGATTAACTCGCACATAGTGCCACTCATCCTTCAGTCAAGGAACCCACATCACGCGGTCACGGATTGACCGGCTCCTCGAGCAACGACTACTCAGATGGAAGCTTCACCCATCTATAAATGCTTGTTTGACGGGGAACGCCCAGCAGCATTATCAGCAGCATGAAACCAGTGTTCAACACTGATGCTTCTCTGTCACAGTCATGATTTATTTGAGTCTTATTGAACTGGGAAGGGATCTAACAAGCATTCTGAGGTTCCTACACTTCCAGACACTCACTCAGGCAATATAGACATAAACCGACAACAGGAACGCCATTGACACATTAGCAGCCTTATCTTGTAGCGTCTCCAACCAGGCGTAGTGGGGAATCACACAATCCCCATCTTGCAAAACGAGTTGCACCAACAGTGCCCAGACTTTTCGTAATTTCTTCCAGGTCAAAGTTTGGCCACCTTTCTGCTCCCGCCAGTTTAAATTGGGCATGGAATATTCCCATACTTCTAGTGGCATTAGAGTTTACAATAAACCATCTGAAGGTTTTCTCACATATAGCGGGGTTCTCCAGATATATCCCATTCCGTTTACTTCACTTTTGTCAGTGCACCACCTAGTAACCGCAAATTTGGATAATGAAATCAGATCAGGGGGAAGATTGGTATGCTTGGATTATGCTGACTTCTTCGCGAACCGTTATTTAGCGATTATACGTCCACACAAACTATTACAAATTGTATCTCCGAAGTGATTCCGTTTTGCCATGGAGTTTGCACATTCAAAGGTCTTAATTCAGGACTTCCAACGTACCCCTCTGAAACTTCACATGAAGAACTTGAGTTTGTTTGTAGGTGCACTCATTTTTGCATTTGTATAAACATTGCGACAGATGAGATCGGCGCATGCATCACCATGATACGAGTAATATTTGTCAACTTGCGTCATGTCTGACGTCAGAGACAAATACCACCGAGGCTAAAGGGCTGTCTGGGAGCAATCCTACCCTATGGCTGTGAAACTCGGTTCCTTTGATATATGAAGACCTCAAACGTCTTCAGATAGTTGGTCACCACTGTCTCCGTAGTACAACAGGCTTTAAATGGCTTCAGCATGTAGGTAAGGTAACAGTCAGTAGGCGGATCATAGGCCATTAGTCTCATCCTCTCGAGAAACAGATGAGGATTACGAGACGAAGGTGGTTAGAGCATGTGCCACCTTCGCCCGACTAAAGAGCCGTCTTCTTCACAGAACCTTATTGGAGAAATTTTAGCGGACAGGCCATGGGACGACAACGCGAGTTGAAAGCATAGCGATCTAGAATCTTCACTCTTCTGGCTGGAATCCGTGAGATATTTTTTACGTGTGGTTGGAAACCCTCTAGGACATAACACGTAACATAACCAAGCGGTAAGCTTGCTGTCAATTCTTTACCCAGCTAACGCTTGTCTGCTGTTGTGTGCTATGCTTGTGTCTGAAAAGGTTCGCCAAGTCTGGGTCTCGCTGATGGCATTTTGCTCCAACAAGATGCTCAGATGCGTTTATCTCAATGTCTTTGGAAAAGGCGGGCGCCTTGCTTTCGGATGGTTTCTCCCATTTCTTCTCAACCCTTACTATAGTATTTTTCCACCATGACTGCCTATCACTTAAGCATCAGGTTTGCTGCTATATATGACGATGTAAACACCAACAGACTGCGCGGAGCACCTATGGAAATAACGTGAACAACCGTCCAACATGGCGAAACGATCTTCTGCATAGTGAAGGATTTTCATTTGTTAGAGTTGTTTCGCGCATGAAGTTAGGTTTAAAGAAAAAGTTGGAATACTGGTTATTCCAGAGCGCCCCATATTCAGTTGCGGACCAACAAAAGGCGATAAGATCGGGAACGTAGTTTCGGCTTGGTTGACTGAGTTTATCTGAGAGTGCATTTTGTGCACGTGGGTAAGATTGTCGTCATTTAAGCGGAGAATAGGAAAGTTGGACAAATGAGAAATGTACCCAAGTCAGAAGGTCAACGAAACGAGTTTGTTTGATTGCTGATAAGCTGAATTCGGAGGTGGTTGCATGCCGCAGGACAGGGAGCCAGCCGACGAAATAATGAACGCGTAGTTCTGTCTCACGAAGTAAGAGGTAACGAAGGAATCAGGTCATCTTCTTCTTCATTGCAGTAAAGCGGTCCATATACTAGGTTCGTAAAATGAGAACACGAGTGAAATAATTAGAAATTATAAACGAGAGATTCAGCTGGGTTCCAAGTGAGCCTCCCGTCAAAACCAAATTGATATGCAAATGAGTGTATTGGTAGAAATCATCTACTTCCCAACCAGTCTACCCTTCTGAACTTCATTCCTGAAACATGAACATGGCTATAAAATTTTCATGTAAATGCCCTAAAATGTTTCCTGCCTAACAACAATGTACTGTCAACATTATCAGGTTTCTATCGTGGGACTTCAATAGGCGAATCAGTAGACAGAAAATCAAACTGATTTGAACACCCAAAGTTATGTTACGAAACTGACAGGCAAGAACTTCGCTATAGTTAGGCTTTTCATGTACATAGGATAGCAATCACGAGACCAAAGAGATACCGCGAGCAAGAACCTCTTGCTCATAAGTTCATATAAATCGAGCTTGAAGTAATCAAGAACGCAATAGGACGTAAGCTCACCAGATATTCCAACTTTCATAACCCAAACACTGCCACTTCCATCTAAATAGGCCATTTCAGATGAACGACCACGTTCTACGACCTCTCGCCACATGGTAAGAAGGAAGCTGTAATTTTCAGGGAGACCTTCAAACTGGAATATAGCTCTTGCCGCGGAACGCTCCAGAGCATCTACCCTCCTGTACGTGTATTAGGTGGTAAGCCGATCGGTAACACATCCGTTTGAACTTACCGGTCAGATGAGGCCATTAAACCTGCTGAATGATTTTCATTACTTGTTAACTGTGATTGTTGAGTCCTAATCCACATGAATATCAGTTGAACAAACCACCTTCTGTCTTGGCACTACTATTCCCGTTAGTCTACACAGGAGGGGAAAGAACAGCTTTGTGTTTAGCGGCAGCTAGAGCTCATCAACAACCTAAACCTTTGAGTTCGACTCGATTCGGACTCTGGTCAACTGATATGCAAGGCAGGTGTATTACCGCTACTCTATCCGCGAAAGCTCGGGGTAGCCAAACTAGCAGGTCTGAATAGGTGAAAATGCTCGCACTTGCGCGATATGCGTGGATACGACAAGAACTTTGCTATCGGAGGAAATACCGGCAACTCCGATTGTGTAGATTTTTAGTGTTCTGTTCGCTGACCATGTCAATTTTGCCGCAAACGTTTCACCAGTAGTCCGGGTGACGTCATCAGTGTGTAGTGGACTAGTGTTGCGCCGATGTGATGACACCAACTGGTGACGATACGTTTTCAACAAAATTGTCAAGCTCAGCAACCAAGACAACAACCATCGTCTGTTTCGGTGGGATCAGTTCGACCTCCACTTGTCGGTGTGTTTTGACTGTTCTTGGTCATTTTCGTTCCGCACGTCAAAGGGCTATAAGACCACACTCGAAGTGAAGTCTATTTATGACTTTGGGACCGCAGTAGCCATAGAGCAATAATCGTACCAAACCACAAAGCATGATGAGCCCATCGGGAACACTATGATCAATATATTCTCTCATCACATCAATGCTGTTGCAGTACTGCGGGATGACAAACGTATATAGAGGAAGCAAGCTGTACATAATACACATTAGAATACACCGGTATATTACCAACTACTGAAAACCGCTGATTCCCACCTTGGCATAATCTGGAAGACTGTAGAAATCTCGCATGTCAAATTTGTTCTCAGTGACACAAAGTAGTGACACTTGTGACTCAGTGAACAGTTCTTTAGGAAACTGCTCCAGAGTAAGTTGGTTGGATTCGAGTCGAAGCACTTTTAACCGAGGACATTGTGCGATCGTGCTGGCCACGAGATTTATCCGATTGTTGTTCAAATTGAGTTCGATAGCCTGAAAACAACATGAGGGATTTTGTGGTTCATGGAAAAAAGTTCTGTTCATAGTAGATGAAATAAGAGTAAATTCTCTGTGAACCACTGAGGTGTCACCTCAATGTGTTCGGGATTAAATGTTTTTGCGTTACTTGACAAGTGGTTACCTGCAGGAGAAAGGGACGCACGGAAGCGAGCGATTCGACAACTTCCCGATACATCAGTGTTGGGTGCAAGGTTTGACAATGGGGGTAGTGCGCACGCAGTGAAACGTACAATAAAGTTGACGAAATTGGAAGGTTGACATAAGCGAAGCACAGAAAGCGGTATGACATATACCAAGCAGACATGGTTCAGTTTTTCTAGAGGAACCAAACCTTGTTCATGTACAAGCCGAATTCACACGTATTATTACCTAAGTATAGTATGCAACGCTTGTGGAACGCAAGTGGACTTTACCTTCAAGCTTAGCAATACTAATATCGATCCGCAGGTGAGAAGTCACCGATCATTCCAGAAGATAACAAGGCAGTCACATGTCTTCATTTAATCAGGTTACGCTTCGAAGCAATCCAGTGAAATATGGCTGTCGTCGAGGTAAACTAGCCAAGTCAAGCTGAATCAGCGGGAAATCGAAATATCCATCCATTCCATTCGTACAACTTGTTCATATCAGCGAACAACATAGTTGTAAGGTTTTTATCGGCTACCAAGACACGTTATCCCCTAATCCTCATTGCACCCTGGGAACCTGTGTTGAAGAGCCAAGTAGCACCCTTTGGAAGTAGAGCTGTTTCGCGTTTACTGTGAGTCGCCAACAGAGACTACATCATGGATTTCCAGGTCAATTTTAATCGGCAACCTTCTGGATAGGAGTCCGCACGCAAATATCAAGTTACGGGTGACTGATCAACAACGTGGGTAACGCGCATCACTTCTTCAATCGTACAGTTCAAATCATGTGACCCGTTGCTGACTGCTTCTCTGGGCGATGACTTCTGAGAGGAGAGCCTAACAAGTCACACATTTATTAACAAGTTCGACCAAGCGAACGACCGTTGTCCTTCCATCGAGCCATGATAATGTCATCCCTAGAGTAGCCAGGGGGGTACTTAGATTGTTTCAACCTAGGAGGTATTCGTTATAACCCGTGAGCAGCAAATGAATGAGAGTGGCATCTTGACAAATGTCTGTGATCTGAACTGACCATTTGAAAAGACAAAAGAATGAAACAACTAGGAAGGTCATGGGAGGTTAGTGAGAACTTCCCGGTTTGCCGATAAGCATCGTCCGAATGACGAAACTCATCAGTCATTGAAGTGAACAGACAAATTAACCATGGTCATTTCCAGCTATAAAAACGTACATTTTGTAGTGGTTATAGCTGCCACAGTTCAGTTCGTCGGTGATCTGGGAACGGATAGCTACGCATCGGAGGCGGGAGCTGATACAATTGATTCATGAATTCAGGAGTGTCAGTGGACTTCATTAGGAAGGTCGGATGAGAAAGCTATGTATGAGAGGCAAAAGCTTGGATATATGAACGCGACTGGGCCATATCTACCAGTATCTCTAATCACTTGTGTCCTGTCTGGAGGTCCCCGTCCAGGGAGGCGGCAATGACCAGCGCCGTTGAGTTTGCAGGTAGACTCACCGATGAAATCGGTCGACTGGCATACGCAGCATGTGCCCAAGCCAACGCAACTCAGAGTGTGATCAGGGACGAAGCTCGGTTGCCACACCATTGTTCGTCAGAGAGCACTGTTTGACAATCCAAGTGGCTCCACAAAAGAATTTCTCAAGCATCAGATTAGTAAATTCTTTCTCTCGGTAATGCCTACCACTGAAGTGGTAGGTCGCTATCTGGCATCGTTGGCTCTTTCATGACACAGTAAATTGCATGGGTTTTATCGAACATGTAGCGGACACAGGTTCTGTGTGGTGTTTCCTGGGACCAAATAGACAGGAGACGAGTGTGAATGCAGCTAGTCAGTAAAAGATGCGTTTGGCACTCCACTGAGCTGTACAAAGCCAAGAGAATCTACAAACAGCAACATTGGTTTTTAAACATATGGAATAAAAACGCAAATACAAACCACCTGCCAATCGCACTGTCAAATTTCACCAAGGCGGAGCTCATCTGGCACAAGGTAGTGTCTTAATAGTGTTTTACATTTCAACCCTAAGATACGATAATATTTTTCACCTGCACCACGAATTGTGGAGATCTATTCAACTGGGTCGAAAAAAAGTTTGGCTTAATAGTGACTTAGGATGATATTGCCTGTCGACCTCGCAGGAGTGTATTGGAGTGACGTACCTGAAGCGTTGAAACGCAGCTGGGAACCGCAGCGATCATGTTGTGCGATAGGTCAAGCATATTAATCGGGATCGTGGCTGTACACAACTCAACTGGAAACTCTGTCAACTGATTCATGGATAAGTGAACAAAACGGAGGCTGCGTAACGCTCCGAAATTCACCACGTGTCCGGGTGGGACCAGACTGACCAGGCAATTCCGGTTTGCAGACAACGTCTCCAGTTTGGTGAGGGTGAAGAGTTCCACCGGAAATTGTCCTATGAGGATAGAAGAGAAACAAATTGTTCGGAAGGCGGGAAGTGGTAGAGGAAGTATGTATTGAATGGAGTTTGCATTCATGCCGTCAAAGTTCCAATATCGAAAGTAAAACCAGTGGTAATCAGTCAGGCAGTAGATGAATGGTTTGCTAGTTCAGGTGCATCATCCATGCACGGAACGAACAACTGACTGTAGAACGGTGAAATGCTATCACTAGCGAACATTACAGACAATAAATTGATCTCCGATACAAAGCTCACACAGAACGGTCGAATGCAACACGATCCCTAATTGCGACACATCGGCAACACCAAAGCGAAGTCTTAAGCTACTGCGTAACGTCGAAAAACTACCGACTGTTTACCAAGCCCTTCTGAAAAGGTGTTTGGCTACCTCTTTTGCCGCCCGACGCACCACGTTCCTCATAAATGTATAGATCAGTATGAGATTTCCTGGCCTTCATTGCAATGAGCTCGAGGAATAAAAGAAAAACTCGCAAATTCAAAAGCTGGCAGAGAATCAACGTGAATTCGGTCGCAGTCTCCACTGTTTCCAGTCTTGTTCGAAATTTCGATCGGCCACTAAAGTGCCGTGACGCAGTGTTACGTTCTCTATAAAACTTTACGTCATGTCTATACGTATCGTTCGTGTTATGCTCAACACCATCTTCGTCGTTTACTAACCCTTGCCATAACTCCGTCTTCCCGCAAATCACCTGTACGTTTTGACCACGACACCACGTAAAAAACACTCGACTGCAGATGAATATTCTGGAGCTGACCTGAGAATTGATCTACAACTGTCTGTAGCAAGGGTGGTCCACCCTGGATTGTACACCCCCTGTTTGTGAATTCCGTACGCTACCACGACCTCGGTCGAGTGAAGTACTTTCGTCACATGTAGCGTGAATTCCACTGGTGCGTTCGGGCCATAGCTATAAAAAGTGCCGAATTTCCCCATCATCACTGACAGCAATAAACCAAAACTAAATATTGGTGCTTAACCGACATATAGCCATGAGATGTTACACATGATATAGAGTGGAAATAGAGAGGAAGAGATACATGACTTGTAAAGTCATACGAACCTAGGAAGAGGGTACTTACATCATGGAATAACAGCAAGATAAACGCACCTGCGTGTCAAACCGACGTAAGATGCCATTAGTGGGGTTGACTCGATGCCCATTTCGAATCTCACTTTACACAAACATACAACGGCGAACAAGTTTCAGGATAGACACTTCGATCAAGAAGTGGAACATGTTCTCCAATGGGACCATATCATGTGAGGTTTCTAACCACGTGTAAGGAAAGTTATGCTGACTGAAAACCGTGAAGGCGAAAAGACCATGTAGCACTTAGCTTGACGGCAACCCCTTCAGTTCGCATTAACAGTGGCATATACAACACAAGCTTTTCGCATGTGTAGTTCATGTCCCGACCACTTAACCTGATGAGCCTTAGTTGTTGCTCTAGTGATTGATTAATTATCCAGCACACCTTTACACATCAATTTGTTACGTGGTACACCGCAGCCAGCTAACGTTTGCCTACTGCGAGGACATCGATGGTCAAATGTTTGAATTTGTCTAACGTCCTCGTATCGGGCGGGTGAAGATTCAAAACCATGTAGTAATACCGCCCTTACATTTTGACGTGTACACGCCTTCCTTTGTCTCCAGTGAAAATTGTTTCTGAGGCTATAAATGACTCACGTTCGCAAATGTTGCCCGCGGATTGATAATGCATGTATTGAATTCTTAGGTCACGGCCTCCACATCACTCTAGATTGTTAGACGGTCAACGAAATCAAGTTTATCCACAGGGGGGACTTAAAAGGCTGAAGTAAAACTTTAGAGCTTGAAGGTGCCAAACGCATATCGAAACTAGAGATCACATAAGAAATTCTGTACAGGATAAGCTAGGCAGACTGATGGTCATTAACTAAAAAGGCTGTTAACCATCTAGTCCAACCCTATTAGTTCTGTAAATATAATTCCGGTACGAAGACTCTCGATCTTTTGCAGTATGAATTCCATGGTAATATCGACGGAGAAATTGGACAGTTAGGAAACGACAGAACAGCCTTGTTGAACTCTACTAGGTGTATGACGGAGGGTTCATCGTAAACTCAGACAACCAGAAGTGTGGGAACAGTAAGCAGGATGTACATTGACAGACTTCAGGGGAATTACCCTTTGGTCTATCCATGGAGTCAAATGTTCCTTTGAAGTGGAGGAAAACCTCAATTGTTGGTCACCGGAAGGTGTGGCGCTACTTAAGTAATGTCAGTACACTCCTGACGTTCTTGCGGCTCTCGGATTCGCGCATCAAGTACCAGGCTTCGTCATCAGAGTATTACTGAAGCCAGTTGCCGCAGTATGACCAGCGTTAGACTGTGCCTTAATGAGTGAAGTAGTCGCCTAGTATAACTTTTTTGAATACGGACTTGATGACCTACTGATTGGTCACCCGGAACTTGCTCCCAAATAAAATCAAACAATATAGTAAGGATAGAGGTCAAAGAGACATCATTGTGTTTAAATAGCGCTGGTTAGAGCTCACCTGGCCCGGAAACACTCCAAGGCAAAAAGGCATATCAGCATTTCATCAACTGAGAGGGGACCTAAGCTTATAGGCCACACCTCGAGCTGAGGGGGTCAAATGAAAGACAGTTATAAAGGCCAATTACCAACTAAACTCTTGTTGAAAGTATTCTGCTCAACCAACTAAACGACAGCGTTTACTATACGGTTGATTTCCAAAATTATTATTGGCAAATAATGGACGGCGTCCTGGATCCCGTTTGCAGATTAGCCAGAACAGCCGCAGTAGCCTCCATTCTTTGATCCTGTTGGATCTGTCCAAACACCTAACAGACCATCTAACCGAATTATGGTGCTGTCCCAAACGCATAAAACGTATGGTATGGGGCGAGATGGCCCAAGTGGTTAGAGGGCGAATTTACTGACCGGAAGGTCCGTGGTTCGAACCCGACCCCTGCCACTCGACTTCCCCTGTCTAGGCTTGGGCAACCTGGCAGTATCCCAGCTCTCGTGCTTCCTTCGGATGGCATGGCAGCTAGGCACCGGAAGGGTGCTACAGCTGAACGTTTTTTTATGGTATCAAGAAGTGACGGCGACCTTACCACTATTGCCCTTTTGCTGAACGTTTTTTATGGTATCAAGAAGTGACGGCGACCTTACCACTATTGCCCTTTTAAGAGGGTGATTGCAAACTAGCACAGTTTTTGGTATGCTTGCTTCATTCTTGGCTTAGAAAGCTTTTGGACTACTAAACAGTTTGTACGCTTACTCGGGAAATACAATGAAAACCGGCCAGTGTGTGGTCCGAATAGGGTCCAGAATGATTTGCCGCCCCGCATTGATCGCAATACAGGTAGCTGACGTCTACGTGCTCGGTCGGGCTTCAACAACAGGGTGACGCCATTTGGTTTAATGGCATCCACTGCGTCCAAACCCAGTACTACTGAAGGACAATTGGTGGTCGGTAGAGTTGCATAGAACGTTCACTCCTATCACTACACCTTGATGCTTAACTAAACTTGCCATCAAATCGCGCCTGACGCGCTCCAGTTGCTGATGAAAATCTTCTGCAATGAAGACCATCTGAACTCTTCATTGTTGGAACATAGGCAGACATTATGTACGGGGTATTTCAACTAGTGCGACCCCTTACAGAACACTGATAGAATGTTAAGTATACATGCTGTTCCGAGTGTCCTTAAAGAAAATATCCAACAAGTTCCCCTTTGTTTTTCGGGAAATAAATAATGTGGGGAAAAGGTGTCGAATCGGCAGACAACCGACTACAGACTCCGCCTTGACCCTATCAAGCCTCCAGTTCCAGCAAGTGAATCTAAAAGTCTACGCAGGATCAATTTGCTGTTCAATTCAGAGGTTGATTGTCAGATTCCGGGTAAAAAACCTAGATGATTTACCCAAAAGGGCGAAAATCCGGTAGGGCGCTGTCTGAAGGATCCATACAATCTAACCGCACCAATTAGACCCAAAACCGAGCATTTGCTGAATATCTTTGTAGTGAGATGCACAATATACATCACCTTTGTTTTGAAAACGAGAAACTCCGACGAGTCTCACCTTCAGCTTCGACCGGCGCACGACCAACGAGTGACCAGCATCAGAAACTAGTGTCATTGTGTAGTTGAGAGGGTCAACTGACCACAAAACGGTGATCAAAAAGCCTTCTTCGTTACACAGGCACAATTAATAGGGAAAGACTTCTACGAAGCTGGCCGATTTGTCAAAGCTCTTGTAAATTTATTCAAAGCGTGGAGGCTAAAAAACAAACGGTCACCCAAACGTCATTAATTATTGTCGGTGGCCTCATGTACTCAGCTAGTGCATAGTGGGGCCTGAAGACGCAATTACATTATGGGCTGCACCATCATAAGAACTGATTCAATTGGGACTTACTGATCTTATTATTATCCACATTAAGGAGTTTCAGCGCTGTGAATTTCGAGATTGAAGGTCGGAGAATCTCAAATCTGTTGCATGATAAATCCAGACTCCTTATTCTTTCTAGACTTTTGGCTTCATCAGGAAGCTATTTATTCTGTGTGGAAGGGGACAAGACCACACTTACCTTTGTTAACTTCAGACCGCTCAACTGAAGGACGCCTGTCTTTTCGGCATTTTCAAGTCGCGGTGTCAAAGCATTACCCATTGGTATGGCTAGAAAGCATTTTTAATGCACGAAACCTAAAAAGTGAACGTTTGACGCAGTTATGATAAGCAAAATTTGTGGTGATAAACAAGAATATCCGATTGTGTCTGGTAATATCCTGGTAGGAGACTTTCATCTCGTCCCATGCTAAGTGGAATACAGCTGTTGCTTATAGGCAACAGATAAGAAAGAGCTTTAGCGCCAACTATCAAGGAATCATGAAGTTTATCAACTGATGAGGGGGCTAACACGCGTCTGTTGCAAGGAACCAGTAGCAGAATGACCGCTCCATCAGACGAGAAGGCCAGAGATACTGCTGTCAAGCTCTTACGCATGCGACAAAAAATTTCTACTAGGTATGGTATAAGACGACACAACCATGATCTTACAAGCAAGCGAAGGATTTTTGTATTTGAAGGCAGTTCTCTGAAGCATTATTCAGGACCAATGGAGTGTATGTAAGGTTACAGCCCCTACGATAGACTAATTCGTCACTTGTCCCGTTGATTGGGTCGTGTTCTCCGTATACTGGAGGACCGTCCATATAAAAGCCATTTTTCCATGCGGCACGCTGTGGGGAAGTAACTGGTAGGTTCGCTTAACAACTTGACTCGCTGGGTAAAGTGAATTTTCGGCGCCATCACAAATGAGCACTGTGATGACACCACAAGAGATGCTTGGATTAACGGAGCACCACTACTTTAAACAAGGTAAAGACTTCTGGAACATTAGGCCCTAAATTCCAGCGGGCATCGAACGAGTCAAGTCATTTGAAGGTGCCGAAAATCAAGTCTTGGTTTTCCACCACCTGTTGCCTACATGCAGTCGCGATCGATCGGAGAATATCCGAAATCGCTTAAACTGGAGAGCAGGTGAGTCAGTCGGTATCATGATCAACGCTATATATATTGTGTGGATAAGACAAAGTAGAGCCACAAATGTTCTACCTATGAATCCACAGACTCCGAATTAGGAAGAATTGATTCTGTGATACCTGACTTCCTGGAGTCTTAGGTTTCAAGCAGAGTAGATTCCAGAAAACGGATCACGCACTTGGAATCACTCTGACTATGCAAGTATATGTACCCACATTAACCTCAAATAATATCATAACATTACGTGCCGCCCTATGATGAGAATACCCACTGCTCCACAGAGACTAGCTGACAGGGAACCACGGTTTTGAGCTTGGTTTACTGTTGATACGTAGCTTCTATTAAGTAATCGAGTTCACTTCGTTCATTGCTTAGGTAGAGTTGTAAGAAATCCTAACCGAGTTCCCTTTTCGAAATAATTTCCCATAAGTCAGCTAGTTTTAAAGGTACATTAATTTGCATTACGTTAAATTGCAAAACCTTTCAACTAGTTCATCCAGAAAAACCTATTTACGTTGGTCCTCCCTCGCAAAACCTACCAATACTGATCTAAGTGTAGCTTTTGACATGAAGGACAAATATTACAATATCCTGAATATCCAACGGGGATGAGATGGCTCAAGTGGTTAGAGCGCGAATTCACTGACCGGAAGGTCCGTGGTTCGAACCCGACCCCTGCCTCTCGACTTCCCCTGTCTAGGCTTGGGCAACCTGGCAGTATACCAGCCCTCGCGTAATCTTCGGGTGGCATGGCAGTTAGGCACCGAAAGGGTGCTGCAGGTGAACGACTATCCTGAATATCCACCCAGGGCGAGTCATGTTTTCCAAAGACCATTCGGCGTACTTCAGCATTACTGATCCAGACTTGGACAATGCTCCAAAAACACTGAAAGTCTTTTGACGTCCCCAGCGCGCAGTGCCCAGGTTTCTGATTCATGGTTTGAATCTGACCTCTGCATCTCAACTTCTGTCCAGGCTTGGGCAATCTAGCAGTATCCCAGCCTCCGTGCTTCTTTCGGGTGACATGGCAGCTAGGCACCGAAAGGGTGCTACAGCTGAAAGATTATTACTATTACTATTATTATTACCTTGACTCGCATAATAATGAGCGCACTGCAGAACTGAGCCCGACCCTTGACGGATAAGCTGATGTCACGCCTACACCACAGATGATGCAGGTTTACGAAAGCTACTCTGATCATCTTTCATGAGACCACTGGGACTGATACCGCTACCCAGATGGGCAAATTTATTTACTACCTCAACCGGCTCTTCCTTAAGCATGAGGTTAGAGTCCGAGCCCACCCAGTCTTGCAGCAGCACTTTGTAGATGTGAAGCGCATGCCGAACCGTAAGTCAGAATTACTTAGGTTATTTAATATCGTTTGCATTATCACCACGTTACAACTAATAAGAGCCATGTCGTCTGCATACTCAATATCCGTGAGCGAACACTCCGAGAGCATCTACACCCGACAGGTCATTTGCAAACTATTGTTACTAGGCGATCAAGATTCATGGCGAAACCTTCGACACCCGGAAATGGTTGTTGGACATGGAAGACCAGTCATCCGATTGAACAAGGCGAGGGTTCACCATTCGTTCCATGAGTTCGCGTTATTTCACACACGCCGCGGATGTCCACACACGACCTGTATGGATATTTTGACATGCGTACTGAATCAAGCGATATATCTGGAACTGTTCGCACGAAATACACGTTGCGATATCATTATTTATACTAATGGGTTCTCACTCTTACACTCAGCGGCTACGGTATATATATATATATATATATATATATATATATATATATATATATATATATATATATATATATATATATATATATATATATATATATATATATATATATATATATATATATATATATATATATATATATATATATATATATATATATATATATATATATATATATATATATATATATATATATATATATATATATATATATATATATATATATATATATATATATATATATATATATATATATATATATATATATATATATATATATATATATATATATATATATATATATATATATATATATATATATATATATATATATATATATATATATATATATATATATATATATATATATATATATATATATATATATATATATATATATATATATATATATATATATATATATATATATATATATATATATATATATATATATATATATATATATATATATATATATATATATATATATATATATATATATATATATATATATATATATATATATATATATATATATATATATATATATATATATATATATATATATATATATATATATATATATATATATATATATATATATATATATATATATATATATATATATATATATATATATATATATATATATATATATATATATATATATATATATATATATATATATATATATATATATATATATATATATATATATATATATATATCATACCATACCCCATATCATATTACCATCACTCGCCTAAACCAGACGTCCCGTCCCCTTTGGTGTGGACTCACCAGAATAATTACGCCAGGATGGGAGAAGGACTGTTCAAACAAGTGATGTGAATATGAACAATACACACCCCGCAACCCCCCACAATAAGTATTTATTCCTCCACATTAAATAGATCCGTGTTTCGGGCACGCAAGTCTACGCCGTTACGCTGATTTATTAAGGACTGTCTAATCGTTTGTCTAGATCATAACAAACGTGGAACGCATACTCGGAGAGGGAAAGGTAACCGATCCCATAAATAGTATGGACAGCCAAGAGGTAGATTATCACTACATTGTTCAGCGGCTGAGGAAAAGATCAGGAAGCCCTTCATTCACTGATTGTTCCCAGTAACACAAGCTAGCACGACTTAATGTATCAGATATGTTATCATTTTCATTTTTGAACTCCGGAAAAAACGTTCTGACAAATGGTTCTGCCGAAAAATGACTCCCCAGAAGTGCACCTTGTCCATTTAGATCGACATATAGGGTACACTCCCTAGACTGGTTGGCTGCGTTCAGTTTTTGCAGATCATTCGATCGTGCAGCACTCAGCTTTTGTGCGACGAAGACGCTTCATAAATGAAAATCCCCCAACCATGTACACATACGGATTTGGATGGTTACTAAATTCGTCTGAAAGATCAAACGAACCATCTTAAGATGGAAAGGTTGAGGTGCCTTTCTATACTGAAGATAATCGTGCAACTTCGGTCCTTGACGGTTTCGCTCACCGACGGTTTTGGGAGACTGCTCACAAGGGCCAACTGAAATAACCTTCAGGCATGCCACACTTTATGTATCTCTTCCATTTCCCTAGTATTTTGTGTCCACCAGGATTAGCGTTCAGTGCACACACTGAATATGACTTGTCGTCTCAAAATCAGTTGGGCTGAATTGAGTTCTCGACCGGAGGGAACAGTAATGTGAGATTAACGCAGTGCCATTGCTCTAACTGATATTCAGTACTTGAAAATTTGTAGCACGGTGTCACTAGAAAACCTCGTAACACTGTGCAAAGATGTGGTGATTACGTTCCAGCACGAACCGACATCCTATGCTGCAGCAGTTCGAAGAGAATCCAGAAGACGGTTCTGATAAAGTCTTTTAACTTCAGGACTTGCAAACCTCCTAGTTGTCAAGCGGGCTATCCTCATCTTACATATCCCTAAAAACGGCGAGATGCGACTTGGGACGAACACAGTCCATGACTGTGTCCCAGGAAAAGCCGCATTCAGTTACTGATCCGCACCACAGGTAACTGATGGAGGTGTGGTCAATAAGATTAGCCGGTACGCTGTTGAAGGACACCCGGTCAGACGTCTTCGGTTATTTCGGAAGTTATTACTCTATAAAAACCACCTGTAGACAGCACACAGCTGGAGCAATCGTTTGTCAATCTAAGTACGCACCGAGTTCCACCCACGTCAACCACCTAATCCAGTCTAAGATGCGTTACGCCTGCCAATTTGTGCGTTCAAATCTCCGGCAATCACAGCGATATCTGAGCTTTTAACCCACCGTACCAGCACATTCAAACCATTACAAACTTGTCTTTGATGGTATCAGAGCAACAGCTGGTTGATGTATAAGCAGACAGAACAAACAGACAGCGATTTCCTTCCGCCTGTGAGATATTTTTACAAAATTTACCAGGAGTGAGTATCAACAGGTGTCCAGTCAAAAAATGATCTTTCCGTCTGGCACATTAGGACGACAGCATACCCTGTCGCATCAGATCCTGGATCGCCAGAGATGCGCAGCCGGAAGCGACTGGAGGGTGATAGGGTGATTAGCTTATCCACCATTTCAGTGCCTAGCTGCCATGCCACCCGAAGGAAGCACGAGAGCTGGAATGTTGCTAGGTTACCCAAGTTTAGACGGAGGAAGTCAAGAGACTAAGGTAGGGTTCGAACCACGGACCTTCCGGTCAGTAAATCCGCGCTCTAA